TAATTAATAAAGTACACTATAGAATACACTGATTAATTAATAAAGTACACTATAGAATACACTGATTAATTAATAAAGTACACTATAGAACATACTGATTAATTAATAAAGTACACTCGCTGATTTTAGTAGTTTCAGCTTATTTAGGCAGTCATATCAGGAATAACTCAATGTGAAAGAATGGAGTTGCTATAATATTATACCACCGTAAACCTAAAAATACTGAAAAGTAATTGGCTGTAGATGAGCTTACAAAGCATCTGTACGTATCTTCATCTTTGTACGATATTCTATGGTTCTTCTTTTTCATCATTTTCCCCACTAGATAATGAGATGAACCTTCCTTCCACATAGCAACACAGGTCAACTCTTCCTCTAAATCAAAGATAGAAATCGTCTTACCAAACCCTTCTCTTACAATTATGCCGTATAACTTATGAGTAACGCGAAGTATTTCCACCTTGAATGGTTCTTGTAAGGCCCATCATCCATTAACTCGTCAAAAGCTTAAGTTGCTTGCATATTCAAATAGCTACTTATTCCAAAAAAAAACAAAAAACTGTAACTATAAGCAATCACTTTAACAAGCTCGTAACCAAAAATAATACTCATGAAAACAATGCTTGTGACATATGTTCATTCAGTTGGAAAAACAGTAGATGAAGACACATGCAGTAGATAATTCTGGAAATCTTTAATAAGTTTTCAAACTATACGTACACACGTTATCGGAAATAGTAGACTATTTCCAAGTACACATCCTGTCAGTATTGTGTTGTTCCAGTTATAGGGTACTTGTCAAAATAATGGGTATTAAAGATGCATTGATGACATGACATTTTGTAGATTTTCTACAAAATAATTTTGTAATAATAAAGAAGGCATCCCCATATTTTGTCCGTTGAAATCGCTAGAATAAACTAGTATAAATGGTGGCATCCATGTTGCTACAGTTAGCACTAGAATATACCCTGTGTAAGATTATCTTGTTTGCTACAATGGGTACTGCCTGTTGTTTGTAAGGTGTATCATAGTTATTACAGTGAAACAATGGGTGCTGGCACCGTGCTGCCTGTTGGAATATGTATTGTAGTTGCCATAGTGAAGCAATCAGTACTGCCTGTTGTAAGATTTATCATAGTTGCCATAGTAACACAGTGGGTACTGCCTGTTGTAAAATGTATTGTAATTGGCGCAGTGAAATAGTAGGATACCGTCTGTTGTAAAATGTATTGCAGCTGCCACAGTGAAAGTGTAGGATATCGCCTGTTGTAAAATGTATTGTAATTGGCGCAGTGAAATAGTAGGATACCGTCTGTTGTAAGATGTGTTGTACTTGTCACAGTGAAAGAGTAGGATACCGCCTGCTGTAAAATGTATTGTATTTGCCCCAGTGAAATAGTAGGATACCGTCTGTTGTAAAATGTATTGTAATTGTCACAGTGAAAGAGTAGGATACCGCCTGTTGTAAAATATATTGTGCTTGTCACAGTGAAATAGTAGGATATCGCCTGTGTAAGATGTATTTTAATGGCCCCAGTGAAATAATAGGATACCGCCTGTTGTAAGATGTGTTGTACTTGTCACAGTGAAAGAGTAGGATATCGTCTGTTGTAAGATGTATTGTACTTGCCACAGTGAAAGAGTAGGATATCGTCTGTTATAAGATGTATTGTACTTGCCACAGTGAAAGAGTAGGATACCGCCTGTTGTAAGAAACTTAAAATAAGACTCAAATAGTCAACTATTCGAAAGCGCATAAGTTTTGGGTCTTATTTTAAGTTTATTACACTTTATATGTGAACCTTTGTGCTAACTCTTTCATCAAGATCTGTTGTAAGATGTATTGTAATTGGCACAGTGAAAGAGAAGGATACCGCCTCTTGTGATATTTGTCCAAACAGTCAAGTGTAAGTGGTAGAATGTGTCACCTATTGGTTTGTGGGAAGCTGAAGGGATGAACAGTTACCATATAGCGCCTGAGAACGTATATAATATATTTTCTGTTAAGCTTTTGTAACAATGGTACATTAAAATACA